TCCTTTTTCTTTAAGAGAGAAATTTGTTGTTGTTGTTTTAATTACTTTTTACTGGAGTATACTTGCTTTACAATGTGTTAATTTCTACTGTACAGCAAAGTGAATCAGCCGTACATATACATGTATCCCCGTTTTTGGATTCCCTTCCCATTTAGATCACCACAGAGCAATAAGTAGCATTTGATGAGCTATACAGTAGGTTCTCATTAGTTATCTACTTTTTACATAGTATCAATAGTGTATACATGTCAGTCTTGATCTCCCAAATCATCCCACCCCCCATTCACAGCCTTGGTGTCCATATGTTTGTTTTATATGTGTGTCTCTACTTCTGCTTTGCAAATAAGATCATTGACACCATGTGTCTAGATTTTTTTTTAATCAAATATTTTCACTTCCTACTATGAGCAAGACATTATTCTGAGGGTGAGGCAGAGGTACAGCTCAACCCTTGACTTCTAGATATTCGAGACTTTCAGAAATGCACCAACTCTGGGCAATTTCATTTCCATTGAAAGTAACATGAATCTTTTCAACTTGCACTGAATGTTGAGCGTTCCCAAGCTTAGTTCGTGGACCCAGTTCTCTCCTTGTCCCCTCCCAAGGTTTCAAATGCCGTCTGAACACTTCTGGCTCCTCACTGTGTACTTCTAGCACACTTGTCTGCTTTGAACTCCAGACCCATATTCCGCATTAAATCTCAACTTGGATGTAGATGGCACGCCGCACAGTGTGTCCAGCTAAACCTGGGGGTGTGGTCCAAGTGAAGTTACCACCATCCATCCAGTTCCAGGACACTTTCATCTCCTTAGTTCTCCTGTCTAGTCCACCACGGGGCTTCTCAGGTGGTACTCGTAGTAAAGAACCCGCCTGCCAGTGCAGGTAGACGTAACAGACATGGGTACATTCCCTATGTTGGGAAGATCCCCTGGAGGAGGGCACGGCAACTCACTCCAGTATTCTTGCCTGGAGAATCCCATGGACACAGGAGCCTGGCGGTTGCAAAGAGTCGGATGCAACTGAAGCAACTCAACATGCACGACTTTGTTGTTCACTTGCTCAGTCGTGTCTGACTCTCAGCGACCTCATGGTCTGCAGCATGCCAGGCTTCCCTGTCCTTCACCATCTCCTGGAGTCTGCTCAACTCATGTCCATTGAGTCGATGATGCATCCAACCATCTTGTCCTCTATTGTCCCCTTCTCCCCCTGCCTTCTCTCTTTCCCTGCAGTGGGATCTTTTCCAGTGAGTCAGCTTTTCAAATCAGGTGGCCAAAGGATTGGAGCTTCAGCTTCAGCATCAGTCCTTCCAGTGAATATTCAGGGTTGATTTCCTTCAGGATTGACTGGTTTGATCTTGCTGTCCAAGGGACTCTCAAAAGGTTTCTCCAACACCATAGTTTGAAGGCATCAATTTTTCAGCTCTCAGCTTTCTTTATGGTCCAACACTCACATCCATATTTGACTAATGGAAAAACCAGAGCTTTGACTAGACAGAACTTTGTAGGCAAAGTAATATGTCTGCTTTTTAACATGTCTAGGTTTGTCAACTTCCCTGGTGGTTCAGACGGTAAAGTGTCTGCCTACAATGCGGGAGACCCGGGTTTGATCCCAGGGTCGGGAAGATCCTCTGGAGAAGGAAATGGCAACCCACTCCAGTATTCTTGCCTGGAGAATCCAATGGATGGAGGAGCCTGGCGGGCTACAGTCCATAGGGTCACAAAGAGTCGGACACGACTGAGCGATTTACTTCACTTCACTTCACGTCTAGGTTTGTCATAGTTTTTCTTACAAGGAGCAAGTGTCTTTTAATTTCATGGCTTCAGTCACCATCTGCAGTGATTTTGGAGCCCAAGAAAATAAAGTTTGTCACTGTTTCCATTGTTTGCCCACCTTTTTGCCATGAAGTAACAGGACCAGATACTATGAACTTAAGTTTTTTGAATGTTGAATTTTAAGGCAGCTTTTTCACTCTCCTCTTTTACCTTCATCTAGAGGTTCTTTTGTTCCTGTTTGCTTTCTGTCATAAGGGTTATATCATCTACATATCTAAGGTTATTGATATTTCTCCCAGCAATCTTGATTCCAGCTTGTGCTTTATCCAGCCCAGCGTTTCTCATGATGTACTCTGCATATAAGTTAAATAAGCAGGGTGACAATATGCAGACTTGACGTACTCCTTTCCCAGTTTAGAACCAGTTGGTTGTTCCATATTCAGTTATAGCTATTGCTTCTTGACCTGCATACAGGTTTCACAGGAGATAGGTAAGGTAGTCTGGTATTCCCATCTCTAAGGATTTTCCAGTTTGTTGTGATCCACACAGTCAAAGGCTTTAACATAGTCAGTGAAGGAAAAGTAGATGCTTTCTAGAACTCTCTTGCTTTTTCTATAACTCAGCATATGTTGGCAATTTGATCTCTGGTTCCTCTGCCTTTTCTAAATCCACCTTGAACATCTGGAAGTTCTCAGTTCATATACTGTTGAAGCCTACCTTGGAGGATTTTGAGCATGACCTTGCTAGCATGTGAGATGAATGCAATTGTGTGGTAGTTTGAACATTCTTTGCCTTGCCTTTCTTTGGTATTGGAATGTAAACTAACTTTTTCCAGTCCTGTGGCCACTGCTGAGTTTTCCAAATTTGCTGGCATTTTGAGTGTAGTACCTTAACAGCATCATCTTTTAGGATTTGAAATAGCACAGCTGGAAATCCATCACCTCCACTAGCTTTGTTCGTAGTGATGCTTCCTAAGGCCCACTTGACCTTGCCCTACAGGATGTCTGACTCTAGGTGAGTAATCACACCATTGTGGTTATCTGGGTCATTAAGTTCTTTTTTGTATAGTTCTGTGTATTCTTGCCACCTCTTCTTAATATCATCTGCTTCTGTTAGGTCCATACTGTTCCTGTCCTTTATTGTGCCCATCTTTGCATGAAATATTCCCTTGCGATTTCTAATTTTCTTGAAGAAATCTCTAGTCTTTCCCATTCAATTGTTTTCCTCTATTTCTTTGCATTGTTAATTGAAGAAGGCCTTCTTATCTCTCCTGCCTTTCTCTGGAACTCTGCATTTGTTGTGTATATCTTTCACTTTCTCCCTTGCTTTTTGCTTCTCTTCTTTTCTCAGCTCTTTGTAAGGCCTCCTCAGACATCCATTTTGCCTTTTTGCATTTCTTTTTCTTGGGGATGGTTTTGATCACTGCATCCTGTACAGTGTTATGAACCTCTGTCCATAGTTCTTGAGGCACTCTGTCTATCATATCTAATCCCTTGAATCTATGCATGTACTAGTCCACCACTAAGTCTTGCTGATTCTGTTGGTTAAATACTTTTTAAATCACATATTTCTCTCCTTTTCTACCATAGTCTCAGTTACCATGAGCTCTTGCTTGGTCTGTCTTCTCCTCTGGCTCCTCTCCAATACTCTTTTTTCCAGAAATATGAGTCAGATCAGGTCACGCCCATTACTTCAGACCATTTAACAAATCCCATTGCTCCTAGACAAAAATTCAGAATCCTCAATGTGGCATCCAAGACCAGCATGGCTCTCTGTATGTATTCCTGTCAGAGAGCCTGAAATAATCTTTACCTGACTTCTTTATATGGTTAACTTTCTGGCTGCTCTCTAGACCTTACCTGAAAAGAAACTTCCACAGGAAAGCTTCTCATAGGCCCTCCCACTGCCATAGTACAGAGTACCCATCCTTAGCTACATTACATGGCTATGCATTTAGTTGTATGATTGTGAGTCAGTGTCTACTCCCCCTGTGCTGTGTGCAACCAAAGTAAGGACGATTCTGCTTTACTCACCAAATGTATTCCCAGCTGGAGGACTGGGGGCGGGGGGGGGGGGGGGGGGGGCTGGCTTGGTCATGAAGGACCTCCTGAGCCAGGTGAAGCTATTTGGGATTTATCCAAAGAGCAGTGGGAAGCCTTTGAAAGTTTGGAAGGAGGGAACAATGTGATGGGATGTATACTCTAGAAGAATCACCGTGGACAAGACATAGAGAAATCCAAACAGGTACGCTTGAAACGCGGAAATAAGCAGAGACACAGTAACTGCAGGTCCACTCTTTCTCTATTCCACCTTTCCTCCTCTCCTCTCTAAATCCAGTGAGGTTACTCAGAAACCCTCTCAAACAAATGCTTGATCCACATCTAGTTGCCTGAACATTGATTGAATTCCTAACAACTTTGTTGATGCAAGGAATAATAAAGTGAGAACTGGTCCAGACCCAAATGTACATCTTCAGCCCACATCTCCCACTTTAGTAGAAAGTCTAGAGACTATCTAATAAGCAGAGTATAATAAATGTACATCTTCAGCCCACATCTCCCACTTTAGTAGAAAGTCTAGAGACTATCTAATAAACAGAGTATAATACAATGTGGAAAGTGCTCTGATAAGAGTTAGAATGGAGGTCTGGAACTCAGAGGCGGTTATAACTAATACACTTTCACGTGGAGCAGAAAATGCCTCACAGGGACCATGGCATTTGATCCAGCAGGAAGGATAGGAATTTTTCAGAGACAGCTGAGGGTGGCCTTCAGTGGCTAGAAGAGCATGTGAAGGGCCTGGCTGTTGGGGCATGGCTTTGGCCCTGGATGTGTGGGGATGAGGGTGGGGAAAGTGGTGATGTGTTGGGGCCTTATTGTAAAAGGTCTGGTATTCTTAGTTCAGGAGTGTGAATATCATATTGTGGTCTGCCAGAAGTCACTGGACCACTGCAAATATCTCTAAATTAAGAAACAATACATGAGAGAATACTTTATATTAAAGGTTTATTGAGAAAGCAGTGACTGGGCCAGTGAGAGCAATGATCTTCTGAACCTAAGAAACACAAGAATGATTCTGGTCCTGAAGCATGTACAGTGGGGTCTGGGCCCCCGGTTGCAATGAGCTGACCGAGGCCTGCCCCCGGGAGACAGAGTGGGGACCTGGCCACACACGATTGTGAGCACGCTCTGCCCTGATAGCCGTCCTGATTGATATTTTATTTTGCAGTTCCATGGAGAACGGGAGGCCACCCGATCCTGCAGACTGGGCCGTGATGGATGTCGTCAATTACTTCCGAATGGCAGGATTTGAGGAGCAAGCTAGTGCATTTCAGGAACAGGTAACTCAGTCTAGAGAAATACACAATGAACATGATTGCCTCCCTTCCCCACAACGAGCAGCAGGGACTGAGAAAGAAAGGCATAGAGAGCGGTGAGGGATCAGTGAGGCTCCAGGTCACCCCAGCCCCTGGGAAAGTAAGAGGGTGGGGAAGGGGAGTACGGAAGTGACAAGCTAATGATTCCCTCCTGCAAGAGGAAAACCCAAGCGCTAAGACAGAAACATGGGCGCAGCTGCAGAGAGGAGGGCTAAGTCTCATCTACATTTGCATCTTCTGAAAGATGGCCCAGCCCTGCCTTCAACACAAGCACACGAGGAAGCAGAACACAGAAAAAGAGGAAAAGCAGGGGCGAATCTGGCAGAGAGACACGCTCCTGTCTGCTGCTGGCCTCTGCGCCACCTGAGCTGTTAATTAAGCTTCCTCCAATGTGCTTGCTGGGTGCTGAGCAAAGTCGAATGGAAAGAGCACAGCGTTTGGACTTCAATCCTGGTTCTTGTGATTCTGTGTGATCCCAGGCAAATGCTATGACTCTCTGAGTCACTTTTTCTCATCTGTAATACCAGGCTCTCAGTGCCTAACTTTGTAGGGTGGTATGAGAATTAAAGGGCAGTGATGAAGGCACGTTGCCTCGGGTAGGTGCTGGCCCAACGTTGATGCCCCCCAAATGCGAATTCCCTCACTCAGGTCCAGTGGTGGTACTGGAGAGATGGGGGGAAGAGCAGGGGATCCCTCCCAATTGTCTGGGCGATTCCTGATTCCATTTTCCAGGCTGGGCCAGCACTGTAGGGATGGTTTTCAAAGGGTTTTGACCATGAGGAAGCAAATCAGGATACATGCGATCCACACCAGACCAGTTCTGTAGGGAAGCACAGAGTTCCCATTTCCTTACCAATGAAGTCTGCAGTATTCTAAGCATTAAGTTCACTTTTCTAATTTTATAATGTAATTGAGAGAATTATAAACTGAGCAATGCATTTCGCTGCTTCTTGCACATCCCCTTAGCCATTTCTTACTCTCTCAAGCTGGGTTTGGATAAGTGCAATTTTCTAATATCATGTTTTCTGATGAAATATATATCTTGTATTCTAATAAATATCTAATACCATATATAGAAAAGTGCACTTCTCTAATATCATAAATAATTCTAATCTCTAGATTTCCTTCAGCCAGTATTTTCTTCAACTTTATCCCTGCATATGTGTTTTTTGTTAACTTGGAAAATTTGCCAGAATAACAGCTTAAATCACTTCACACCCACCAGGACAGCTAAAATTAGAAAGACTGATAGCAAATGTTCGTGAGGATATAGAGCAACCACACTCGTCTACATTGTTAGTGGGAGTGTAAAAAAAAAACACTCAAGTATCTACCCCATGATCTAGCAGCTTCATTCCAGAGTGTTTACCCAAGGGAAATGAAAGCATATGTCCACCAAAGATTTGCTCAACACTGTTCAAGTAGCTTTATTCCTAATAGTCCAAAACTGGGAGCTCAAGTGTCCATCAATAGGAGAGTGAATAGACAAACTGTGGTCTAGTCTTACAGTGGAATAAAGAAAAATGAACTACTGATACACACAACAGTTTGGATGAGTCTTAAAACATTATGCTGAATGAGAGAAGCTTTACATAAAAGAGCTTGTTCTGAATGGTTTTTGTCTTATTCCATGTGGGTTGCTATAACAAAAATACCATGAACTGTGTGACTTATAAGCAACACTTATTTCTCATATTTTGCAGGTAGGAAGTCTAAGATGAAGGCATTAGTAGACTGGGTGTCTGGTGAGGGCCCACTTCCTAGGCAGCCATCATTTTGCTGTGTCCTCACAGAGGAAGCGATGAGCAAGCTCTCTGGGCCCACTTTTATAAAGGCACAGATACACATGGGGGCTCTGTTCTCATCATCTATTAATAATTGCCTCCCAAAGGGCCCAGCTCTTAATATCATTACTAATACTCTCAAGATCCATTGGGGGGTTGGTTTCAACATACAAATCTGGGGGAGAACACATTCAGACCATAGCAGTTCTGTTTAGATACAGGATGAAAACAGGAAAATACACTGATGATAGAAAAAAAGAAATCAGACAGTGCTTGCCTCTGGGTAGGTAGTCGAGGGGGATGACTGGGAAGGAGCATGAGGGAACTTTCTGAGGGATGGTAGAATTTTGCATCTTGATAAAGCTTTGGGTTATGAATATATGCATTGGTCACTGCTTATGCACAAAATATGCAAATGATCCAGAATTGTGTATTACACAGCCAGTAAATTTTTTCCTCAGAAGTAAAAGACCTATGAAAGTGACGTTGCTCAGTTGTGTCCAACTCTTTGGGACCCCATGGACTCTAGCCTACTAGGCTCCTCCGTCCATGGGATTTTCCAGGCAAGAGTACTGGAGTGAGCTGCTATTGCCTTCTCCAGGGAATCTTCCCGACCCAAGAATCGAACCCGGGTCTCCTGCATTGCAGACAGACGCTTTACCGTCTGAGCCACTAGGGAATCCCACCAGGGAATAGGAAAAGACATATAAAAAATAATTAATGGTGCACAAACTGAAGTATTTAGGGGAGAAGTATGCTGATTATGCAAATTATTTTGAAATGCATCAGAATACAGATTCACAGTTGCGTAGAAGGATGAGTAGATGGAGAGACATATGATACGGTAAGCATGAAATATATTCATTGTAGAATCTAGGTGGTGGGAATACAGGTACTCCCTAAAATATTCTTACAACTTTATGTTTGAAATTTTTTATAATAAAATCGTGGGGGGAAATAACTGCAGTTGGAGAGTGGAAGGCTGATCAGCTGAAACATATTTTATTTTGGTCTAATGTTATAATGTCCATTTGTGTCATTGCAGTTGAATAACTCACTTCTAAAATTAAATTTAAATAATATTATGAAAGGTTAACAAAAAAAAAGAACTTAGCTAAAAGGTCTCTTGGCCAGATTCCCGGCTGCCCAAAAGCAATTTTCAGAAGGAGCTTTTGCTCAGACTCCTCTGATGCAGATGGCCCAGACCTGGGGTGGAGGGTATTCTTTGGGCCTTTCAGACTCTGAAATGGAACTGGCCAGCTCTGAGCTCGGCCCAGGAGCAGGCCCTTTCTCCCAGGGATGACATCAGTCTAGCACCAGTGACGTGGGAGTCAAAAGGGGACAGAGTTCCCCAAAGCATCTCATTCAGAAGTCCTTCAAGGGAGGAAAGGAACACCATCTTGTTTATTCAACTCTGGAGCCTGAGAAATGAATTCCTGAGGGAGAGAAATTTTGCAAGCATGGTCTAGATGCTCAAGTTACTTCATTCTTATGGAAAGATAATTGGAAAGGGAAATAATCTGCCTTGAATTATTCTCTGGAAGTGATTTGAATCTTCCTCCTACTTTGAATCTCATGTCTTTCCTCTTCTCATTAAAGGAGGTAAACTTTGCAAGGAAGCAACCACTGGCCAGACTCAGGCTGACAAGACAAGCAGCTGCTGTGCTTTTCAGGAGGACTGAGGATCAGGATCCTCTGCTATGTTAACCTGCCTCTTCCATCATCATGCTTCAGAGGCCTTCAGTGTTTCACCTCCCGTGATCTTCCTGGAAATGAACCCCAAGCAGTCAGCAGTCACTCACCACATTCATCCCCAATGGCAAGACTACAGGCTACCCCCAGCCCAAACACAGGACGCTTTTAGGCACTTCTAGGTCACAGCAGCTGAGAGAGAAGAAGAATGGCCACATCCCTAAATCTCCATAGGGTAGGCTCTGCCCTTCCATATGATAGAAGCAGGCCAGAAAAGTGAGCATCCCCTAAACCACCTTAGAAAATGGCAGGTTCAGAAAGGGTAGTACAGTTGCCAAATGCAGCACGTCTTACTTGATGTGAGAGCTTAGTTTCTTGGCTGTTATGGATGGAATGTTTGTCCCCCTCAAATTCATTTTAAAACCCCAACTCCCAGCATGATGGTGTTTGGAAGTAGGGCCTTCAGGAGATAGATTTAGATGAGGTTTTGAGGCTGGAGCCCTCGTGATGGGGTAAAGGCCCTGGAAAGGGAGCTTGCTCTTTCTCTCTGTGTTATATGTGAGGATGTAGCACGAAGGCAGCCATCTGCAAGGGGTGAAGAGGGCCCTCACCAAGAGCCACATGTTGGCTCTGTGATCTTGGACTTCCCGCCTCCAGACTGAGTAATAAAGCTCTGTTGTTTAGGCCACCTGATCCTTGGTGTCTTGTTACAGCAGCCTAAGCTGACTAAGACACGGACACTGATGCCAGACATGTCCACCATGACATGTGCTGACTTTCAGGGGAATGTCCATCTTCTTGGTATGGTCTCGCAATACATTACTGGATATCCTGTTGTTGTAACAACTAGACTCAGAGGTCGATTTCTAGCAGCGTGTTCCTTTAGAAGAGGTCAGGCCATTGATTTGTCCAAAGTGCAGGAATGTCCCATGTTCCTGTGGTATGGAGGGGCAGCTGGATTAGCCGAGGGATCTTTGTATAACCTTTTCTCTATGCAAGCACACTGACACCTAATAATTATCTCCCTTGAATAAAAAGAAATAAAAATAATAAGAATTATCTCCCTTAAGTTTCCCACTGGTGCAGTTATCACCATCAGGTTTTCCTCTGACCAACTTCTTTTGAGCTTCTGTGTGAGCCACAGTACAGACCAAAAGAATTATCAAGAGGGAAGGCCTAGGCACCTCCCAGCCCCCTCCACACCCCTGCACCAAGGATCCACTGTCAACAGTGTGTGTGTTTGGGGTCGTTTCCTGCTCTGGCCATCCTGTCATGACCAGTGACATGGCTCTCTGTTGGCCCACTGGCCTCATTAACATTGCCCCCCAGAGGACGAGACACCGGGATCCCTTCCTAGAAGAGGCAGTGATTACAGCTATTGTAACACTGTCTCTCATTCCCACCAACATGGTGGTATGGTCGCTCTTTTCCTAAGTATCTTCCAGCATTCAAACCTCTTCGGCTGTGATGTGAAGGGTATGAGTGAGG